GTGATCTTCATGCTCTTTTATTCTTACGTTCAATGACCGTTTAGTTTGACCTGTGTATATTCTGTTGCACGAGCTTTGAATCGAATATGATCATTGTTACTTGAAACTATTACTATTTTCGGAATTTGCACCTCGAACCTACGCTTGTATAACAGCCTCAGTTATGTTTGGATTTCAACATTCTGTGCCTTAACTCCATATGTATAAAAGGGTTAAGCCTATAATTTGTGTTTTAAAATGTATCATTTGTTATCGTCTACAACTTCGTTTTTGAAAATTTGGACGAATTTTGCATATTTCCGAAGGGCATGACCTACAAGGTTATTTGAATGTCAGAGGCCCACCACATTTCATACTATGTTATTTTTGTATAGTTTTGAATTATTTACAGGTCAATGGGTCACCATGTATAATTGTATAAACATTTATTGGTTGATTTTCAAGTTAACTAACGTGTCTTACCCCAGCTATACTGTATCTTAGGTATGCCACACTCCGATTTCCATATCTCGGTGGTAAGACCACCTTTAGCTTCATCGGGTATGGTCAAATATTAACATATCTATTTAAACATAAACTATACTGTATATTAGGTATGCCACACTCCAAGTTCCATGTCTCGGTGGTAAGACCACATTTAGCTTCATCGGGTATGGTCAAATATGAACATATCTATTTAAACATAGACTATACTGTATATTAGGTATGACACACTCCAAGTTCCATGTCTCAATGGTAAGACCACCTTTAGCTTCATCGGGTATGGTCAAATATTAACATATTTATTTAAACATAAACTATACTGTGTATTAGGTATGACACACTCCAAGTTCCATATCTCGGTGGTAAGACCACCTTTAGCTTCATCGGGTATGGTCAAATATTAACGTATTTATTTAAACATAAACTATCCTGTATATTAGGTATGACACACTTCAACCTCCATATCTCAGTTGTGAGATCACCTTTAAATTCATCGGGTATGGTCAAATATTAATCTATTCAAAATGAAATCAACCTTGAGAAAGCCTAACACAGTCGGGAAGAAAATTGGTCCTGGTTAAGCCTAAAACACCAACTGTAAACACACTCACAAAGAAAATCAATACTGGGTAAACCACGCTAAAAAACCAACTGTAAACACATACGTTCACCAGGAGAATCAGTCCTAGGAGAGCCATACTAAAACTGTATATACATCCCTAAAACTCACTGCATAAAACCGAACACAAGCTTTAAGCCTGACTACTAGAATCAGGCAAGAAAACTAATAACTGGTGAAGAATGTAAATGGAACTCTTCCGTGTTGAATTTCAAATAAAAAATGTATCGCTTAATTTGATTTCATTGCAAATGGATTAAAAAAAATTTAAATTAAAAACATGTTGGAAAAAACATTGATTTTTTAGTTTCTTAATTGAACTTGTTAACTGATGACATTTAACGGAAGTTATAGCTAACAGCTATTGTTTGTGTGTTCCGTAAGAAAAGTCTATTATTTATCTATAATGATTTTCATTAACAGTAATGGTTCGAATGTTTCAAATATTCAGTTTTATTATTTTTCAATTTTCTTTTTTTATTATTACAGTTATATTATAAAGATTGTTTCGCATTGTGTAAATGAACAATTGTAAATCTCTTAAGCTGGTCAAACTTTGTGAGATATTATTGGGCTTACGTCCGAAAATGTTGTTAACAGTGAGGATACTCAGCTTATGAAACAATGAATCCTTATGTTTGTAACTCATAACGTAAGAAAAATGCCTTTAATTATCTATACTCATTGCAAAATTATTTTTTAGTGTCCACTACTTCTATGTATTGTTTTTACAGTGACCATTATGCTATACAATGACCACTACTTCCTTGTATTGTTTTTATAGTGGTCAGTTATATTATAGTAGAACTAGTAACTGAGACAAGGGTTTCACATATACACTACGAGTGAAGACACTATTCTGATAGTCTCAGTCTTAGCGGATTTTATGAGCTGTATTTACTATTTTCCGGCAAGAATGGTAGATTAATTATATCCTATCTTTTATTTAAGGTTACTTTCATTAACAGTATCTGTTATTATATTTATGATGATTATTTGTTTTTTGTTTTTTTTTATTATCGTAAAAATTATCTCACATTATTAGCTTAATTTATGGATTTAGGACTAAGTTAAATCTGCTTAGCTTTTCAAATCAAGTATAACTTGAACATCAGCCTAAACAAGTTACACTTTAACCAAAGTTGAAAACACATTGTTGATTGTAATCTTTAATATAGTTACTTTTTTATTATTATTTCTCGCTTAAACTTATGTTTGTTGGCCAAACCGCGTAATATATTACTGGGTTTACTGCCGAAAACATCGTCAACAGCGAGAGTACCCGAGTAATAAGACAAAGCAATCTAGTCATCATAAGCAATACAGTTTGAAATTTATACTTAATTAGCTATGCTTATTGGTAGGTTGCTTCTGATCTAAGTAGATAGCTTGTTTTGATCGGAAGTTCGTGTTGATTATATTATTCAGTATATACTATTACTTGTATTGTTCTTATAATGCATCGTTTGCTGCTACTGTGTATTATTCTTATAGTAATCATTGTCTCTTAACACTAGCAACCATTAGGCATTGGACATTCGTATAAGCTGAGATTACTCATTAACAGGAGTTGGGTGTCAACATAAATTGAACTTTAGTTATGAATTTGAATTCCTAGCTATCAACAGGGCTTCGATATTTATGTCACTTGAACCTATCCATCAACAGGAAGGACTTCAACATCAATATCAGTTGGACATATCCATCAACAGGACTTGGTCATCAATATCAGTTGAACCTATCCATCAACAGGACTTGGTCATCAATATCAGTTGAACCTATCCATCAACAGGACTTGGTCATCAATATCAGTTGGACCTATCCATCAACAGGACTTGGTCATAAATATCAGTTCAACCTAGCCATCGACAGGACTTGGTCATCAATATCAGTTGGACTTAGCCATCGACAGGACTTGGTCATCAATATCAGTTGAACCTAGCCATCGACAGGACTTGGTCATAAATATCAGTTCAACCTAGCCATCGACAGGACTTGGTCATCAATATCAGTTGGACATATCCATCAACAGGACTTGGTCATCAATATCAGTTGGACCTATCCATCAACAGGACTTGGTCATCAATACCAGTTGGACCTATCCATCAACAGGACTTGGTCATCAATATCAGTTGGACCTAGCCATCGACAGGACTTGGTCATCAATATCAGTTGAACCTAGTCATCGACAGGACTTGGTCATAAATATCAGTTCAACCTAGCCATCGACAGGACTTGGTCATCAATATCAGTTGGACATATCGATCAACAAGACTTGGTCATAAATATCAGTTGAACCTAGCCATCGACAGGACTTGGTCATCATTGTTAGGTAAACCTATCCATCAACAGGAGGGACTTCAACATCAATATCAGTTGGACCTAGCCATCGACAGGGCTTGGTCATCAATATCAGTTGGACCTACTCATCAACAGGGCTTGGTCATCAATATCAGTTGGACCTATCCATCAACAGGACTTGGTCATCAATATCAATTGGACCTATCCATCAATAGGACTTGGTCATCAATATCAGTTGAACCTAGCCATCGACAGGACTTGGTCATCATTGTTAGGTGAACCTATCCATCAACAGGA